GAGAGCTCTGAACCAGCCGCCCGTCTAGAGGTTGGAGACGCCGTCGGTCGGTCACGAGCGGCTGAATAGCAGTGTGATTAACTCGCACAGAGACAGCGCCGCACCACTCACGCGTAGCGCATCACGTGGACTAGTGACGGCGGCTACTCGAGTGATGAGGTTTTAGATACTCATGCTCAACTTCACACGGTTTACACGAGCTGTTGTCAATCGGGAAACAAGCCAACGCATAACCAAGTTGTGCGCATCGTGTGAGTGAAGAATATGCGGTGCTTTACCCTACCTCTGCGCGCGTCAATCCCACCACCGTTCCGACGCTCGTGGCCCGAGTGGGCGGATTGGAATCTCCTTACAGATTCTTGAGACATGCCCTATCGAGGATTTCTAAAAAGCATCAAAGAGTTTCACAGTGCTTCTCGACCTTTCAGCACAGATTGAACTTAATTGCTTTTGTGTTTGGGCCTGTCTCCTGATGTCATTATAAAGAAACTCGAGTGGAATTTGCTTGACGGTTATTGCTACCAAGCAAGTCTGATAGATTGTATCCTTGCTTTCTATGTGTCAGTATTCTTTGTATCTTGTTTTACACAAGGGAACTTTCGGGAACTTCATTCATTCTCAAATTTGCTTGATTACACTCGATACTACTATCTAGGGTGGGCATGGTAATGTGTTGGAATATTGGTAGTTCGGGTGCATGAGTTGGTAGTTGATCAGGTGGCTGTTGATCTGTCCGCAAAGCTTGGCCATTGATTTGCGTCGCCATTCGAGTAGACATCTTCAGTGCGCACTAAAGATGTCTCCTCGAATGGTGATGAAACACTTGCGAACAACTATCAAGCTCGGCAAACTATTACGTTGCCTTTGAAAAGTGAGGAGTGTGACACGCGTTTAAAAATTCTCACGAAGCAGACCACCAAGAGCACTTATACTGTCTATTCGGCGGTAATTTTACCAAAAGCCAGAAGCCTTTTGTTAGAATGCAACCCGGATAAGCTCAATACACACACTACATCCCCATGTGCTTAGCTTTACCAATGTACTGCCGGTGTACCCGTGGATGCTACTGATGAAGCATGCGAATAGTATGCTTCCTCGTAAATCCGCTTCGCGTCTCTTGAAAAGTGAGATCTATTACGGAATTTGTGGAGTCGCTTAGTAGCATTTGCTTGCATCTGAGTGACGGTCAACGAATATCCAGGAAAGTTCAGGAAGACCCGTTTAAGGAGAAGATGGATATTCAGTTTTCGTAAACAAGATGCACATGAGAGTTTCTTTTCCCTGTCCAATAGTCTGTTCAGTTCCGCAGCGAAGGCCTTTTTCCTTTCATCGGCAACAGACAAGTAGGACAGAGTGAGCGAAGGCTGTCCACAAGGATTTGGGTACGCGTTCATTAAGGTCTTGTCCCACGTGAGAGGAAAATTCACATACTCTCAACTGGACAGCAGTTTGAACTTTGAAAAGTCTTCAAAGTCATAGACAGAGAGTTGAAGCACCGTCTACTGGAATTCTCTGAATTATTAGCAATTAGGAGCATTCAACCGGATCTACGTAAACAACTAGACCATCCTTGCCTTAGTGAGACCTTTAATTCAAACGCAAGCTCTCTCTTTTGGTTTTTCGAGAGACTTACCTGGAACCCAGCTGAATCTCTCGTTTGTGATGTGCCTAGGCAACTGAATGTGCTGCACCAGGCCGCCTCATGTTTCAGTCGCTACGATATTCGAGATATCACCATACATATATGTTTTTTGTAATGCACCACTCATAAGGTTGATGAAATTTCGCCGACAGCCCACGACGGTTTCACCCTTCTTGGGGCTTATCAGGTAGGCGTAGTCCCCGAGTTTCCGTCAACCTTATGTTCTACTTGAAACCAAATTGCACGAAATTAGCGAATATACGCTCATTTGCAAACCAATTTGATTTTTCGAGAGACTCACCTGGAACCCAGCTGAATCTCTCGATTGTACCATCGAGCAACCATTGTTTTATGTACACTGATGACGGTTATAACAATGGAGTATGAGGCATGACCTACCGATAAATCCCAGCTAATTTTGTACTGCTTTGGCCGATGATTATAAACCTCCAGCTCACCTCGAATAGGATCCAACAGATGGTTACGCGCAAACCCCGGGTGTTGTAAGAACCGATTGGCATCACCTGACTGAGTAGCTTTTATCGATCACCTCTGGAATACCGCGGAGTTTGTTCCTCTTTGATGCAAACATCCACTCCTTCCTTCTGGGTGCTTCTGACCCGAGTGTCGACACTTGCCTGTCAACCAAGTTTCCACGAAAAATGTCTTTTCACTGTTGAAGGAAACTGCTGACAAGGTTGCTGAAAATCCGTCGACAGCCCATGACCGGTTTCGCCGTTCTTCGGGCTCATCTGGTAGGTGCAGTCCTCGAGTCGCCGTCAACCTTATGTTCTACTTGAACCCAAATTGGACCGTTTTCGAGAAATACACTCATTTGCGAATCAGTTGGGTTTTCACGAGAGACTCAACTGAATCTCTCGTTTATCTCTGCCCCCTCAGACCTGGGAGGTAGCTAGCCCCGTGATTGGCAGGCACATAAATTCACACAGTCGCTCCCACTTTACTGGTCCGTTGTGCAGACAGAATAGCGTTTAGGGCTGAAGTTTTGTGGGAAGTGGAAGGGTGACCTGAGGTGACAAAAATCACACGGGGCGGCGGACAGACAGGGTTTATGGAGTTCAGGAGGTGTGTGTATGTGTATGAAAGCTTTTCTGGGAATGATGCGCACCCATCATGGAAAGACAGAATCGGAACACACGCCAACTGATTTAGCAGCGCACTGTCACGTCACGCGTGTCAAATTCCACTGATAAGCGCCAAACAAACTGAAACGCGTCGTTCTTTTTCTAATCACACATGCAACATCAATTGCAACAATAAATCGCCTAGCTCCCATTAACGACCGGCTCTGCTACCTGAGCTACCAACATCATCCGCAATAGCAAAAGATGTCGTGTTCGTTTGAAAATAAAAATTCTGTCACGATCAGGTAGATGACCAATCAGGTGGCCGGCGTAATAAAATGGGTTGTAATAATGAAATCTTGTTGAAGATTTCCAGGTTCATGCAACCAATTCCTCTCGATGGTTAACAACATATTCACATTATTCGTACTGATTTTTCTCTCTTTTTTGAAGGAAAGAAATACTGGATTGTCTGTTCTACTCCTAATTTAAAAGTCACGTTTCGACCATCAGAAACTGGGGAAATACCGCTTCAAACTCCAAAGAATTAGCATGTCACCATCCGGAAGCATCTCCAAATTTCAGCGGCCCCGCAGTTGGTTTTCCTGCCATTTTTTCTGCCTGTTCAAACAAAGCAAGTGCAGTTTAAATTTCCCTTGCTACGGCAATCAGCCTTTTACAGCTTCCGTTGCTGGTTCCCTCGAGAATTCGCATTGGTTTCTCCATGTTATAAGCTCGACCTTCTGGATCTACACGTGTGATGAAAGATTTCCGGTACTCGTACCACTTTTTCCTCAAAACTTCTTTTAACTTGTCATAAGGTATGCATCCTAATCACTTTTACCACGTCTGAGCTAATTTTCGGTTTTTAAGTGTCAAACTGTTATTCCCTTAAAAATTGATTTTTTTACACACCTGTCTCAACCTAGCCTGTTTTTTTATCATTGATGAGGACGTCTGGGGTGAACATCAGTGGTTCTTTTTTACGGCAAACCCTGCGCGCGCACTCGCACCCACTGAGATCAACCGTGTTTTATTAGGCAGATAAGAGATGTGGAGATAGCGCACGTTTTTCGTATTCCAGTGGCAGCGACTTGCTTGTTCAATCTCGCTCTTTGTTCGCAAGAGGTGTCTGTCGATCCACTGGTCCTTGCTCCACACTCAGTCTTTCAAGCAATCGCCATTTTGAACTTGTACTTAGTTCTTCAGCTTGCCGATATTCTTCAATACAACCGCGTTCCGTTTTAGCCACCAGCTTATGCGACAAACACGGAAGGTCTCAGATCTTGCGGGAGCTGGCAAGCTTGATGATTTCGATAGTTTTCGAAGCTGTATGTCTTCAGATGCAGCTCCTGACACGTCTTAAACAAATGCGACTGTTGGATTCAGGCGCATCCGGAGAGTTCGCTGCGGGTCACGTGAACAGCTTACAATTCATCCACTTCTTGTGAGGTTGGGAAAAATGGGCAAATTGGAAAGCGTGGTTTAACACGCTGACAGTATTCGGTAGTGCACTATCAATTCCCTAAAGTTCCTTCTAGAATACGAAGATCGCCCTTCAGTTCTTCGGATTGCTCTGTTTAAAGATACCAGCCCTCGTGTCGCATGGCAGCCGAAAGGGTGCTACAGCTGAACGATTAAAGATGGACAGGAAACTACAACATAAAGACTACGTATACAGCCCAAATGTGCTGTAAGTGTGATTCCTCTAGCACAACGGAGAATGCAGATGATTAAAAAAAACACGTCCATCTTCCAACTGAAAAGAACTTTGGTAGACTCAACAGCAGCGCGACTTAGTGCGTACGACTAGCGACTGTTCCGTACACATTAACAACACTTCCCTGGTTCTATGACTTCAGAGCGTCCGCCATCGTATGCGTTATAAG